CTCATTGCCGGAAACTAAACCAGGTCTACACTAGATCTAAGACAGGTCTAAACCAGGTCTAAACCAGGACTAAAACCAGGACTTAAACCAGGTCTAAAACAGGACTAAAACAGGATTTAACAGGACTAAACCAGGACTAAACCTTGCCGCGTGGATGTGTCTCCTCTTCTATGGATAATATTTTTAATTTGGTTCAGTAAAATCTGGGATTTTTATTTTCTTTTAGCAGACAAAACATCTTACGTGAAGATATCCTCGTCTTTGCTTCTCTACAGCAAATCAAGTAATCCAAAGTATTCAGATTATGTTACTCACCTTAAGTAACTTAATGAATTATGTTACAAACTACATTTTGGGGTATGTAATCTATAATCTGTAGGGGAATACATTTTAAAAGTAACCTTCCCAACACTGACTGTGAATGTGACAAACGAGTACCTACTGTAGTTTCGATACCAGATTTGGTATGGATTCTTATCTGAACTTCGATACTTTTGACAACTCTATTATAAACCCAGACATACCCTGCGACGGAGTATTTTTACCATCTCTAAAATGCTTACATGCTGTCAGGGGGTGTCCGTGCGTGACTCAGTGTCCCCTGCGTGAACTGTATTTATTTTTAATGTAACTTTGCACCATAGGATTATAATGGGGACAGAAGTGGGGGACGATTAAATGTGAGTTAAACTAGTGGAGCTTTAGTGTACACAGGGCTGCATCTGTTTACATAATCGTGTTCCTTGTAAACAGCAATCTAACAGCAATAAAAACTCCAGTTCCCTTAGTTCGAACTCTACGAACGTGTTCAGAAACGCACGGGATTCTTCTTTTAGTCTACGAATTCAGGTTTCTCCATTTGAACTCTTTCCCCGTTGGACGCAGACTAGGATAGAGCTCAGAATATGAAAAGAAATAAAAACTATAATATCTGCCTTCACTGAAAACAACCTCATTTGCATAGACTCATTGATGTCTGCACTACTGTCCTATAGTGACCTGCCACATGAGGGGACACGCACACAAACACACACAAACACAAACACAAACAAACACACACAAACACAAACACACACAAACACACACAAACACACACCTTCATCATCGTCATTAACCTGAGAACACGCGGACCACGTTTCCTTCCGTAGACACTGCGCGGACATCGCTGTCCTCCCGTGAGCCGCGTGTGGATCTTGTTTTCTCGCGTACGCTGCGTAAACCGAGCTTCCTCCTGTGCGCCTCTAAACCAGAACTAACACCAAAACTAAAACCAGGACTAGTCCAGTCCAGGACTAAACCAGGACTAAACCAGAACTAAACCAGAACTAAAACCAGAACTAAAACCAGGTCTAAACCAGGACTAAACCAGAACTAAAACCAGAACTAACACCAGGACTAAAACCAGGTCTAAACCAGGTCTAAACCAGGTCTAAACCAGGACTAAACCAGGACTAAACCAGGACTAAACCAGAACTAACACCAGGACTAAAACCAGGATTAATCCATTCCAGGATTAAACTAGGACTAAAGTAGGACTAAAGCAGGTCTAAACCAGGACTAAAACCAGTGATCTCATATATAAAACATTTCTCTATCAATAATATTTTTAAGACTGGACTTTTTATTGTCTTTAAGTAGACAAAAGTTATTATGTTCAGATTTCCTCGTCTTTGCTACTTGCTACAACAAACAGTTTCTTATTCATGGAGACTTGGGCTCAACAGCCAATTTGGAGAGATTTGTTAAACAATAAATGACTTTATAAAGTCACTTTTTTTAATCTATATTAGTCTTTTGATCTGCCACAATAATGTAATAATGAATTTAAATGAAAATACCTCAAACTGAAGGCTTTTCTCAGCAATTTTTAGGTGAGATTAAAATGAGATTAATTAGATTAATTAATTACAGATCATAATTAATTAATCTCTCAATTTTTTTAATCGCATGACAGCACTAATTATAATATAATAATAAAACTCTTCCCCATCAGTGTGTGTTCAGTATTTGTCATCTTTGTTACTTTCTCGTGTGCAGAGCTCCTCATAAGAGTTTGTTTCTGTAGCGATTCTGTCATACATCACATCTTAGAAAAAAAGACTGAAATATTTTAAAGGACTCGCCTGAACAACATCCAGATTTCAAGGCAATTTTGGTTCATAATCGAGTATAAAGTCCCTGATAGTTTGTTTGGATATCGCAGGACTCCACACAGACGCATCAGCGGCATTCTCATCTTCGTGAGTTTCACTCTCCGAAAGTCTATCGCTATCACTGTTTTCCACTTTATAATCAACTGCATCATCACTTTGGAATCTATAAAAGTCACTTTCTCTAAACTTATCCATAAAATACGTCCGCTCCTCATTATTTCTAAAACTGTGCTCCGCAGCACCGCGATCTTTCCATTGCACGTGTTTCGTGTTGTGTTTTTTCCAGAAGCTACAATCATAACTACTTCGATTAACTTTGGAAAAAATTGGCGAAAACATATCCTTAAATCCTATTGGTCAGTCTAGTGTGGGTTGTAGTGGCCCCAACCTATCGCAGCCTATGTTTACATGTTAAAAACCAAGCCTTTTCTCATGGTCGTCATCACGTCGTGGTGGTGGTACAGCGGAGGAGTCAAAACACGTCATTAAGGAAACAAGGGGGGTCGTCAAATGTCGTCTTCGTGGGGGAAAGAGTTAAAAAGAGAATTTATGTGCAAAGATACATCGTAGGTTTTAACACAATTTCACAGCATCAGGGGAGATTCAGGAGATCATCTTACGCCAATTTATGTCACAAACAAAACAGAATTCAACTGCAGATGATCAGTTCCTTCCAAAAGCATTGAGGGTTTAGTCTTTCTACTTTGTCTTTTTATCTGGAAATAGTTTGCAAATGACTTAAAACGAGCACAGACTGTTCTCCATCTAAACACTGGAAGCTCAAAATAACTTGAAAAATGCATTAATATTTAGTTACCGCACGCAGGGAAAGTTTCAGACACGTAGCGGCCGTTTCCAGGTGTTTCTTAGCGTCCATTAAGTTTGACCTCGATGTTAACCACAAGTTCTAATCATAATTCATCAGCATTTAATGACCACCTCACTGCAAAGAAGTGTGAATTTGTACAATGTCAAGTGTAGTTGTGTAAATGTCGGACAGGGCAGGTGAGGACAGCTGAGATGTTTGAACAGTATATGGGACCGAAGTTTGTTTGCATGAGGAGGAACATTATTGTTTACATTAAGAGCAAAACCAACTGACGCTTTGCGATGACGTCACGCTGGGGATGTTCTGCATATATGTTTAAGGCGGAATGTTCCGAGGTGTTCATGATCACACAATGCACACATACACAGATACGTTTTAAGATAGTCTGAAAGGTCAAGAACAAAAGCAAAGTGATCAATACGAGCGTTCACAAATCATCTCACCTGTAGTAGTTCTATGTAAGTCAGTTCGTTCTGGTCAGATTGTGCTAAATTAAAGCTCAGTTAAAAGTCTAACTCTCTAAATAGCAGACAGAGCAGTGCCGATATTCAGCATCACCCCCCAGAGAATGTTAATGACATCAGCTGCAAAGTGTCAATATAACCACCACGTGTCTGGCAGGAAGTGTGCTAGAATTCGAGATCTTTAAAGGGTCCGTATTACGCCATTTTCTGCTCTGCTTGAATGTTGTTTCCTCATTGAAACAGACCTGAAGTTGTGTTTTGTTTCATTCCCATATCCGTATTTAGGCTGAGTTCTGCTGTCAAACTGAAAACACTCTGTTCCACCTTGTGATGTCATGTGGTAATACAGGAAGTGCGACACTGTGTTTTTAAACTCCATACACCTTCACTAGATTCATTTGGATCATTTCAGAGCAGATATCACCAATCTCCACTGAACAAAAGGTAAACTGTAGCTGTTAACTTGAAAACTACCATTTCATGACATCACCAGAGCTGTTTGCAGTTCGGCCAGAATGATGCCGGTGCTGGTTTGTGCACCAGTTACAGTGGGAACCAAAGTTCTTCCCGGTGAACGACCCGCGTTCATACCATTTAAGTGAACCTATGATGTATGATCAACAGAGGATGTGGATTTGCTGCTAAATAAAAACAAGGCCATACGAAAGCAGATGTCACATCAAGGAAAATAACAATCATGGATCACAACATGCTACAACATCTGCTGTGAAGAAGGCAGCAGCACCGCCCAATCCAAAGATGGAAGCTTACCAGGCGAACACTGATATAGCACAAATATTTGGTCTCCACAATCTTCTTGTCATTTGATTTCTCCATCATATTCCTCACACACACATTTTCTTTGTTGTTTATTTTACCGTGTGTGACCCGGATGAACCTGCTGATGTCTGGTGTGTCGTCACGATTCGCTTGGAAGAAACAAGTTTTACCTGGTTCCCGAACGCTCTGATTTTCAGCATGAACACATCGGTTGGTTAAAGATTAAGTGCGAGAATTGGCTCTCTGTTGGCCTGAAAACGCTAAAGGTGGAACAGAGTATTTTGAGCTGTGAAGATGTAGACAGACTAATAATAAAGTGTTACTCAAACATGGGAATGAAACAAAACACAACTCCAGGTCTGGTTTTGAGGGTGTAACATTATAACATGACTTAAAGGTGCATTTCTGGCGAATCGTCCATCATTTTCTTGTTTCTATGGATATGCCATTGCTCTGTCTAGAATTTTCCACAGTATGGCATTAAACAGCTTACATGAATTCAGTTACAGGTGGTTTTAGAGCTCAAAAATACCTAGAACAACACACATTCTGACTGTGACCTGGTCTGGTTTGGTCTCCATGAAGAAAGACAGGTTTAATACCACACTGTGAAACATTCCAGACAAAGCAGTAACATCTCTATGAAGGCATCTGATGGGCCCTCCCCCAGAAAAGTTGCACCTTTAATGCTCACAACAGTCAGTTTTGCGTAATACAGGACCCTTAAACCTTTTCGCTAATCTAAAATCAACACACATAAAACTCCCGTCTCACCTCACAGGCTGCTGTTGTGGATGCCTAGCGATGCCGTGCGCGTCAGCATGAAGCTCTCGGTGCACTGCTGGCTGCTGGCTGACGGCGACCTGCGCGGTGACCTCTGGAAGCGTCCCCGGCGGCTGAAGTAGCTCCCGGCGGACCACGTGCGCTTGTGTTTGCGTAGGTACTCCTTGTAGTTCTTGGTGAGCAGCGTGTAGAGGAAGGGGTTGATGCAGGAGTTGGAGTAGGTCAGGCACGTGGTCAGGTAGTTGATGTTGCGTTTGGCGCGGTTGGACAAAGACAGGGACGGGTGGAACTGGCACAGGAGCTGCCACACCCAGAAGGGCAGGAAGCAGGCCCAGAAGAGGAGCACGATGGTGAAGATCAGATACAGCACCTGGACATACACAGGGGACAGATACATGTTTAAAGTGAGCTAGAGAGAAAATCAGGACTATGTATTTGATTCTTAAATTGTTGCAGAGATTTTGAAATGTTATCCAAAATACACAGTCAAAGTTTAATGACTTTCAGGGTTCATACGGTCATGGAAATTGTGGAAAAGTCATGGAAATTTTGTATCTCTTTCACACAACCAGCATTCTGTGAAGTTCTCATTAGGCTATTATGATTATTTCTGAACGTCTGCGCCTTTTGTTTAAATGACAATTTCAGTCACTCATATTACTGCAATACCTTACCGCTTCTGTATCACTGCCTATGGGTGTGGTCGTGGGTGTTCTGGTGAGGCTCTCCAAGTCCAACACGCGAAACATAATAATACGCTTTAAGTTCAGACGTAATGTCAAATCCGAGGTCCAAGTAAGAGTAGATAAGAGAAGATAATCGAACGCAGGGTTAGACTGATATTTTCTTGTTTGTGGAGGAAATTATTAGCCAGGCTAGCGCCACCTAGTGTCTCCACTCAAGTTCATTTCTCTCCAGTGACTAGTTCAGGAATCAGAATACACTAAAGTTGTAGATCACGCACCGGCCAATCAGTGAAGAGCTGTGAAGCCGTGACGTCAAACTCGTCGCGCCTGTCTGGGTCCCTTTTGTGGAACAGCACAACAGTAAACAAAGCATCGAGATGGATGTAGACGAAGACAGACATTCTGTGTTGGCAACGATTCCCAAGATTGAGGATTTAAACCCTCTCCAGGCAGGCGTTGCAGATGTGCAACAGCTAAATGCCAATTACCTACTTACTCCACATCTATATTTTCTGAGCCTTTTTTACTCAGGAGCCTTTTTTCACATCCATGCTGATAAACGTGGACGATGCAGACTGTGTAAGAATGGCTACACGCAAACGGCCTGCCAGAAGTGCAAAATACTTTTATGCTTTACAAAGGATTGTTTCTTGGAGTACCACACAAAAAGTGATCTATACCAAGTTGTTTTCATTCTGTTCTGCCCACTGTAAAGCTGTTACACTGTGCTTTATGTTTTCATTGTTATGATAAGTGGTATGCAAATAAAGTTAGCGTTCATATCATTTTCAGTCTTTAGTGTTAATTTACCACACCGGACCAATGTTGCAAATCTGCCAGAAGGTCTCTCTCAAAAAAAAGTCAGGATTGTACATTACTACCCCATATAATAATTTTCCCCAAATATCAGATTTTTCCTGTTACTAAAAATGTATTTGAGCCTGTTAAAATAGATGACAATAAATGCACTGACAGGATTTTGAATGTTAAAAAACTATAATACCAAAACCATAAGTTGAGTTGAAAGGGTTCACATTTCATATTTAGCCCAAAAAGTCTGATCAATTCTACACATGTAGGTGCCGTAAAGTCATGGAAAATTTACTTTAGGTCATAAAAAAGTGATGGAAATTTGGTCAGTGAAAGAGTGGGAACCCTGGACTTTTCTGACAGACCCCCAAAACAACCCCAAAGATGTGATAGTTGTCCACTGAATGAGTAGGATATGTAGACTTTCAATTTGAAATGTTGTAAACGTGACCCAGATACATGGTAAACACATGTTCAGATATTTATTTTACTTACACTTGTTCTTAATTACACTGGAAATGACAGACAAGTTGTTTATGTTACGTTGACAGTTCCAATGCTGAAATACAGTTGGTTCAAAGCTAAAATGCCTCCCTCTGATCTGAACGGTCACTCCCTAAACCCCAGCATCTGCAGCAGACATGAGTCAGTGCTAGTGCAGCCTGTGCAGCTCAAGGAGGGAGTTCTGGAGGTTCTGAGCTTTCACATGAGGCCTGTCCATAAACTGAGAATGACCATGTGTTCTGAATTAAAAAGTTCAGAATTAAAATATTCTCCTTCAAGTTTACATGGAAATAATAATTGTGAATTGAGGTTTACATGGAAAATCACCTTTATTTAATTCTGCTCAGCGTCTGGGGGTCATTAAGGGTTTTGATTGGACAGGGACGAAGACCGAAGACCGACCGAAACACACACTTCAGCTGCTACCGGCTTTTTTGTCATGTCGGTTTGTTGTTACGCCAAAGACACAAACATGATCCAAACTTTTTTCGCAGTCGTTCCAATGATAATGAAGTAGCAGGTCAAGAATTCTCTCGTCACGCTTTACGTCTGTCAACTGAGGAAGAGAAAGGAAGAGGGTCGGAGAAGAGAGGAAGAAGGTAGAGCCCTGCACTGCCGCGGGACCCGACGCAAAACAGTGCGATGCGGGACACATTTTGAAAGCTCATCGTGTGCATAGGCAGGAGCGGGTGGGATGATAACCTGCAGTCCTGCAAACTAAATATGAGAGTAAAGTAAAATGTACAAATGATTCATCTATGCCTATCATACATCATTTGTGCTGGATATTTTATTTGGCATTAATAAAAAAACATTTTAAGCAGCTGTTAGCGTGTTCCGTGGAAAATGATGACTGGAATCGATCGATTAAAATCACACAGAATTTATTCTCTATTTCACAAGGTGTCAAACATACGGCCCGGGGGCCAGATCCGGCCCTCCAAGACCTTTAATCTTATATTTTCTATTAAAATCTTGTTAATTTTCTGCAGTGTTTATCACAGCAGTGTCTCCAGTGCCTCTGTACGTGGCCCCTCCCACCAGAGCAGCACAAATGAAGACTTGTCTCTTTCCAAACGCTCTTAAAGGACGATCGTTTTGACTGTTGACCGTGACACCCTCATCAGAAAAATGTCCAACATGAGAAAAGTGGAGCCGAGTGCAGGATTTTCCAAGAAAAATTGACTTATTCCTATTTACATACAAGTTCATGTTAAAACATTGTGTTGAAATTACATTTTTCTTAAAGTTTCAGGTTGTTCATAATATTATAATATTTTGTAAAAGAAAGAGTTCATCAATTAAAAAAGATTTCTGTAATAGATTTGTGTTTCTCTGCACAAATATTTGAACTTATTGTTATTTTGGGGGTTTATATGTCATGAGTTTTCTGATCCGGCCCCTTTGGGATCAAAGTAGGTTGAATACGGCCCCCGGAACAAAATGAGTTTGACACCCCTGATCTATTTAATACAATTCTGATACAGAGCTCTGGGTCAAATCACTGTCCCTGATGGCCTACAGCTACACAGGACTTATATCAGGCGGTCTGAACGCCTGAGTTTCCCTCAACCCAAAAATATAAAACAACAACATGAATATGCAAATGATATGTTGAGCAAGTTCACGCCTTGGATCCTCCCTGAAGCCTCTCCGTTTATGGGGATGACCACCAGATTTCAATTTTAGCCAGGTCTGTTTAGTCTTGGTGCTAGCCAGGATGACCCCACGTCAGCTGCTCTGTAAAGAATGTCCTTAATAGTACACAACCTTCACAGCAGTATCTTTAAAAACATATATATCAGATTTCAGTGGTTAAACATTAACTCATTGTCGACTTCATTAACAATATATAATTTCAGTTTTTAATAACTGCATGTGGTACACGACACTTTATTACTTGATACAACCTTCACAGCCTGAACTTGCGGATGTGGTCTAATCTTGGATACATTTTAGACATTTCCTTTCCGCTTCTCTGTGTTTGACAGAGCTTAAGAAAGCGAACGTCCCCATCTTGTGGGATTTGTGGACAGAAGCAGGAATCTTACAAAAATTAAATTACATTTCTTTGTGGGCCGGAGCGGGACTGAAAATTCTGTTCCGCGCAGACTTCTAGAAAAGACAAACTGAGTCAACGGCTGCTCTACCTCAGCCCGCTCCCAAATCCAAAGAGAAGTGGATGAAAGTCCGAAGCCAGGACTGGTGGAACCGGATCGTCTGGATCGCGTCAGAACGGCGACCCAACGAGCATGTGCTGAACAACCGGGATTATTTTTAAGAAGAATAAACGTTTAAATGATCGTGGAATAAATTAATTTGGCTTTAAAATCGGAATAAACCACCTACTTACTTCAGAATTAAGTTGAATTCCGAATAATCATTTTCATTGCGAGTTAAGTGTTCACATTGTCTTTTTAAAGCGGAATAAATTTTTACTCAGAATTAAATTACTTTTATTTGGAATTAAAGCTCTCATGTAAACGTGGCAAATGAGACAAACTTGGATGTGTTGCTAAAGGTTAAAGTCATCGTATGTCCATGTTTTTTCACCGTTGTTCCTCGTCTTGATTAAGCCCCGTGTGCGCCTCATTATTTTTACGAGCAGCTTTAATAATAGCTTCCTTACATTGTGGTTCTCTCATATCTGCACAACTATATTTAACTCTGGCACGACGCTGGTTAAATGTGATAAACAATGGAGACAGTAATTAATGACATTCTCCATAGTCACACGCATCAGTCTGGTTATATATAGGTACGCACAAACAAAGCCGAGGGAGGGTACAACTGTGAAGGAACTGTACGTAAGATTTTGAGTTTAATTTCCATAAACATGACCTAACTTGTCCCCAGATATGAGGAAATATGTTCAAATTAAATATAGCTTCACTGATAACAATTGTAATCCTGATTTATTTAAACGATTGGACATGAAGGACATAATTTGGGTTTTAAATGTGCATTTGTAACTTTTGTAATTGCTTCATGTGGAATGTTTCGCAGTATGGTATTTAACTTTTGACAAAATTAGACCAAGTTACATGTAGGTCAGATCTGTGGAGAGGCAGTCGCTCACGGTCAATGAAACAAAGTCTGTGAATCATAAAGTGAAGATGCACTGATGGGGTGGGCCCTCTCTGCCTGCATCTTTTTCTTTCTCGTTTTACTGGTAAGAAGTGTTTCTTTGCCAGCTCAAATACCTCACTGATCAGGTTTTTGTTTTGTTTTTTTAAATGAAGCCATTTTTATGTACATACCTAGCTTAGTAATCGCACTTACTGTACTTGTATAGTGTACACTTGTGTATTTCAACTGCACTTGTAGGCAATTTGTACTTGTAGCTCGACTGTAAAATGTGTCTGCGCTC